AAGTGAAAGTCTACCTATCACTATATATTCTTTGTACCTTTAGAATTTTACCTTTTATATATATATAATAGACTTTATATATATATATATATATATATATATATAATCTAGTCAAAAATTTAATTTTCAGTCATGCTTTTGATTGAAATCTGAACACAGAGCAGGAAAATGTATGTAAGTCAAAATGTATAATGGTCTGTTTGTATGCAGCAAAATAAAAATCCCCCTAATTGATACTATTAAAAACCTGCCATGATGTTTTTCAAGATGCAACCTTAAAAACTATTTTACAAGGAAAATGGAAAATAAACTGCTTCAGAACTTAAAAGATCAAAACAGTACAGAGAGATATAAGTAAAACGTTCTTAGGAGAATACAAGATAACAGATTAATCCAGATTAAACAGAAGGAAAACAAGTCTAAATTATTTACTTTAAGAATTTTGAGTAGAACAATAAAACAAGCTAATATTGTTCTAAGCTTTAAATCCCAAACTAACTGTTCTCAGTTAATATTGTTCTAAGAGCTTTAGAAATGTCCACTGACAACAGTGGTTCTCAAACTTTTTGGTCTCAGAACCCCTTTTACACTCTTAAAACTTATTCAGACCCACAAAGAGCTTTTGCTTATGTGAGTTATATTTAATATTAAAAATTAAACCTCAAAGTTTAAAAATGTTTATTATTCATCCAGTTCAGTTCAGTTGCTCAGTCACATCCAACTCTTTGCGACCCCATGGACTGCAGCACATCAGGCTTCTCTATCTGTCATCAACTCTCTGAGCTTGCTCAAATTCATGTCCATCAAGTCCAAACTCATGTCCATCGAGTCAGTGATACCATCCAACCATCTCATCCTCTGTCATCCCCTTCTCCTGCCTTCAATCTTTCCCAGCATCAGTTCTTCAGAGTCAGTTCTTCGCATCAGGTGGCCAAAGTATTAGAGTTTCAGCTTCAGCATCAGCCCTTCCAATGAATATTCAGGACTGATTTCCTTTAGGATTGACTAGTTTAATCTCCTTGCAGTCAAATTCACAGAAATGACAATAAGCTTATTATATGTGCTCAGTGGCTTCAGTTGTGTCTGACTCTTTGTGACCCCATGGACTGTAGCCCACCAGATTCCCCTGTCCTTGGGATCCTCCAGCAAGAATACTAAGTGGGTTGCCATTTCCTCCTCCAGGGGATCTTCCCGACCCAGAGATTGAACCCGCTTTTCCTGCATTGCAGGTGGAGTCTTCATCGCTGAGCCACTGGGGAAGTCCCATATTTGCTTACATAAATATTTCTTGTGTGTGAAAAATAACTATATTTTCCAAAACAAAAAAATAAATTTAATTAGAAGACTGGTAGTGTTTTACACGTCTGCTTTAACGTCTGGCTTAACAGAAGACAGCTGGATTCTCCTATCTGGCTCTGCCTTCAATCTGTTGCAATATCACACATGCAGCTTTTGAAAAAACTCCAATATACACTTGTGAAAAATGAGAATGAAAATAGCAAATACTGTCTCAGATTTGTTACGAGAATAGCTTTGATTTCACAGACTCCTGAAAGAATCCTAGGGATACACAGGGTTCTCCAAACCATTTTGAGACCTACTAACTTACATCAGTCCTATGTGGCAAATGTAAAAAGTGAGGCACAGAAAGAGTAAATAAGTTACTCTTATTTAAATAAGAGTAAATAAGTTATAGTGACAAAGCTAGCAATGAACTCAGAAAATCAGATTCCAGTCCCCTGGTTGTCCCTCTGAGCCAGGAGGAAAGCAGCAGGAGCTCATTTAACAATGTTTTACACAATGATGAAAAAAAACAAAAACAAAACAAAACCCACTGGCTGCCTGGCAGTCACAATACCACACCTCCACTCCACCTAAAGTAATAAAATTTCAAATTAAAGTTTTCAATTCATGCAAAGCCGAGGTAAGGGGTGCTGGTCTGCCCTTCAAGAGAAATAGCATCACTGAGGGATCAAGCACATGAGGGGGCAGAAACAGTCAAAAGCCCAGTAAGTTTCTCAGGGAACAGCTCTCTCTTCCAAACCAAGCTATTTCAACTGTCTCTGGAACTCTTACTCCATTCAGGCACCTCTTTACTCAATCTACACAGAACACTGCCTTCAATTCTATTTTTTTTTTTAATGTTTAAGGTCTTTATTGAATTTGTTACACACTTGCCTCTGTTTTTAGGTTTTGGTTTTTGGGCTGCGAGGCATGTGGGATTTTAACTCCCCAACCATGAATTGAACCCGCACCCCTTGCACTGGAAGGCGAAGTCTTAACCACTGGACCACCAGGGAAGTCCTCTGCCTTCAATTCTTTTTTTTTTTTTGCCTTCAATTCTTAATTAAAATGCTCAAAAAGAAGAGTAATGAAGAGACTAGTTCTATCAGATAGTAAAGCATACTATATAATTTGAGAGCAATTAATACAGGATTGTCCTAGTATGGCTTCCTTGGTGGTTCAGAGGGTAAAGAATCTGCCTGCAATGCAGGAGACCAGGGTTCAATCCCTAGGTTGGGAAGATCCCCTGGAGAAGGGAATAGCAGCCCACTCCAGAATTCCATGGACAGAGGACCCTACAAACCATGGGGTCGCAGAGTTGGACATGACTGAGCGACTAACACTTTCACTTTCACTACTTGTCCTAGTGTATGATCGGGAGGGAAGGCAATAGGTCAGAATATGTAGCCCAAATCAGACCCAATTATAGAAAATGCAGTATATTATAAAATGAATCTAAAAATTCAAGATATATAAATGGAATGGTTTAGTAATTTGGAAAAGGAGAGTCTATTTAGACCTTCACTTTTAATCATAAGCCAAAATAAATCCTAGCAAGATTAACTGTTTTTACAAATAAAAGAACCTGCTAAAGCTAGGAAAAGCAGGACCAGACTTTATTTCAGCACTGCGTCCCCTGAGCCTCTTCCAGGGCTGAGGCACAGCTGCCCCAAACAGAAGAAACGAATCTGAGTTTCAACTGTGTTGTTATCCTGTTATTTCATCTTTGGCAAGTCACTTTGCTTCCTGGCTGATTTATAAAAAGCAGATAGTAATGATACTGGCAGCATGAGAATGCTCACTGTAAAGTTTAAAGTGCTATTCAAATCAGCAGAAGGAATAGAGACTAGAAACTGCATTCATCCATGCTGCTACCACCCGGATATTTCAGTGCTAAAAACTACGCCAATTTTCCTGGTAACTTTCTTTCTTTTATAAAGTAGACAATTTAAGTAAGAACATACACTTTCCCACTGGGTCTCAGTACAATTATTTTAATTCTGAGTGGGAAGAAAGATGCATCCAATAGCATGCATGTGCGTGTGCGTGTGCACTCAACTGTGTCCAACTCTTTGTGACCCCATGGACTGTAGCCTGCCAGGCTCCTCTGTCCATGGGATTTCCCAGGCAAGAATACTGGGGTGTGTTGCCATTTCCTTTTCCAGGGGATCTTCCCAACCCAGGGATAGAACCCAAGTCCCTTGCATCTCCTGCATTGGTACGCTGGTTCTTTACTAGCTGAGCCACCAGGGAAGCCCACGAGCATGTTTGCATGTGTGCTCTGTCGCTTCAGTTGTGTCTGACTCTCTGTGACCCCATGGACTGTGGCCCATCAGGTTCCTCTGTCCAAGGGATTCTCCAGGCAAGAATACTGGAGTGGGTTGTCATGCCTTCCTCATAAGCATGTTAATGTCCCCTGAATTGGCCCTTTTACCAAAAAATGGCTGGCATCACTGCTCCAAGGGATTTGGGAGATTTTCTCTTCACTGCTACTTTTTGGAAGCCTCCGCTCAAAGCAGAAGACTATCCTCTTAAGTCCATGAAGGGTAGGGTGGAGGGGAGGAGGGTACAAGCAGGTGTCTTGGAACCAATACCTTGTAGATACTGAGGGATGACTGCAGTTACAATCTGTCATACTCATACTGTTCATTCAGTTTAGCTTAAATTTAAAGCATTTAGTCCTCTAACCAGTGTGGGAGTGATGGGACTGGTTTATAAGCATCAAATGGTTCTTGCCAAAACCATTTAAAAATCATTTCCCACTGTTTTGTTGGCATCCATACTGAGTTCTAACTCTTGAGATTGTGATCCCATCAAATATTTCTCAATCAGTTTGGCCTCCTGGAAGGATGATTTCATTACTTTTCTTTGATGTACTTGTGCGGCACAGATTCTACAACATGCATAATCTGCTCTATCTTTTGCCTCTTTTTTTCAAACTGTTCTTTGTTTCCTGTCCTCTATTCTAAATCCACCAGTATTTGTGTTTTTTTCTCATCTTTTTAATGTTCTTTTGTTTTGGTTCTTTTTGTTATTTTACTTGAGGAGTATATCATGTTTAAGAATTATTAATCCAAGGAAATGGCAACCCACTCCAGTATTTTTGCCTGGAGAATCCCATGGACAGAGGAGCTGGTAGGCTACAGTCCATGGGGTCACAAAGAGTTGGACATGACTGAGCCACTTCATTCAGTCACTCTCTGTAATATCCTATTTATGCCTGATAATACATACCTATGGTTTTTGGTTTTGTTTTGTTTTTTGCCACACTGCTTGTGGGATTTCAATTCCCCGTCCAGGAAATGAACCCAGACCATAGCAGTGAAAGTTCAGAATTCTAACCACTAGGCAACCAGGGAATGCCCCATATCTATGTATTCTAAAAGTAAATTCTGTTCATTCACTCAACAAATATTTAATGAGTGCCAACTGTGTGTCCAGCACTAAAGCTATAGTATACAAATTTGTCTCCTTCACAGAATTTAGTCTATAGATTAGAACAGGCAAAGTGGATATACAGTCTTTCCACTAGATTATGAAGAATAAGAAACAGTACTATACAAAACAGCAGCTAGAAAAGACCTTTTGCTGAGCACAGAAACATAAATACTTTAGCATAATAAATTCAAAGAATGTAGAAAGAGAAATGAACCATCTTCTACTTCAAGAGTTGTATCAGCAATTTAGAATTGGAAGGAAACATCTCCAAACCTTACATCCACTGTACTATTTGATTCATGGTCAAACACTTCAAAAGCTTCTTTGATTTTTTTGTGAAATTCTGCTACAGCTACCTCTGCAAAAGAAAAAGTAAATAAAAATTATTTTACTCTAATTTTAAATTCAAAATTAAAAAACTCAACAACTAGAAATTATTAATAAGAAAGAACATGCAGAACGCTTCCCTAGTATTATTTTTTGGCGGGGAGGGGAGTTATGTAGGAGAACATCTTTATTCTCAGGAGAGGAATGCTTAAGTCTTTAAGAGTGAAATGTTACAATATCTGCAATTTACTTCCCCCCTCCCCTTCCCAATATTCTTTTTGTTTGTTTGTTTCTTTAATTCTTAGATTTATTTATTTGGCTGCATTTGGACTTAGTTGCGGCATATGAACTACCATTCATTCTCCTACTTCACTCAGATGCTCTATTTTTCCAGGTTGCAACATAACCTTCAATTGTGAAAACTATCAAAGGGATTTAAGCTTATTGATATTTATTAATTATTAATTTATTATAATAACATGGTGGCAAACTTCTAGTCTGATAAGCAAATAAATGTTATCTCATTATTTAAATGTACAGTTTCCTTGCTTACAAGTAAATCTGAATAGTGATCTTTAATGTTTGTTTACCACCTCTGCTTTCTATGTATTGAATTGTCTGTTCAGGTTTTCTGCTCATCCCTACTGGGATCTTCCATTTTTTTCTTAATTTTGTATGAGCTCTTTAAATAATAAAGACTTACTGAAATTCTTACTTAATTCTTACTGAAAGAATTACTGAAAACAATTTTCCAGGTCAGTTGTTTGAATCTGTTTTCCTAAAATGAAAACAGTTCCATCTCCCTTATGATCATCAAAATCACACACGATTACTGAAGACAAAAAAAAAAAAACAAAGTTGAGACCAAGTAAAAATGACTTCAAATCCTAACATGCAGAGTTAACTACTCTTAATACTGCCCTCTAATTTAACATTTCACTCAACAGTAAATCGTGAGCATCTTTTCATTCTCAAAAAAATATTTATTACATTATCATTTTTAGAGACTGATAATCCATTATAGAACTTTATCATAATTTATTAAACCAGCTCCCTAACTGTAGACATTTAGGTAGTTTCTAAATTTTTTTGTTGTTAAATATGTTAATTCTTGAGTGAACCATTCTGCCCAATTCATCTTTGTGCATTTGTCTTATTATCTCACTGAAATACAATAAGTTGAATGCACTTGAATTTGTGTAAGATAGTGGGAACATTCTTACTAGTTCTAATAGTAACGGGAAAAATCTCACTGGTTATAATACTGTCATTACACAAAGCTGATATTTGCTTTTTAAATTTAAGATTACATTTTAAAAGTACATTATTTTTTATTTTTATTTTAGTCACACATGTTGAGATTTCTTATCCTTTAAAGTTTAGAAACATAGCCTTTGAAAGGACCACCAAAAGAGGGAGAAAATTATCCTTTTTCTACAGGTTTGGTAAACTCAATTCTATTTTCTTCTACATTTAAAAATATACTGAAATCCATCTGAAAGTTATTTTGGCATGATTCAAAGTGAAAGATAAACTTCTAAGCTGATTTTAATAATTTCTAATTTACTAAGCACTTGAATTCTTTCCTCCTACTTTACAGTGTGTTACAGTCCTTTATGTGATGGAGACTACTTCCATTGTCTATTCTACTGATTCCATTCTGAATTGTATTTCTACTGTTATGTCATTATCATCCCATTTCACTTATTAATATTATCACTGTTCCTGGTCTTCTTCTTAGGAATATTCATTAATATACTCACTAGTGTTAAGTCTTCCAAATGAAATTTAGAAATTCAAATAAAATTTAGAAATTCCATGTAAAACACCACTGGGATTGCTATTGCAATGAAGCTATACACTGAGAAAGAATGAACATTTTAAAATCATTTTCACATCTAAGAGATCTATATTAGCTATATAGCCCTTTTTATATCTCTAAATTGAAGGTTATACATTATGGCTTTCCTCATAAAAGCCACACACAAATTCTCCAAGAAGATTACACCTCGGTATTTTATGGATTTTGTGGATATTGCAAAGGAAACTTTTTGGAAACCTTGAAATTTCTAGAAGTAGAGGTAAATATTAATTTTTTAAACATTTGCTATTGATCTTATATCCATCTATTTCCCCAAACTTTTTATAATCCCTTTTCAGTTGCTTACTTTGTATTTTCTGATAATTCATTTGGTCTCTTCTTTCCAAAATGCATACTTTCTTATTTCTCCTTCATGATTTAGGACACTGGCCAGAACTACCAAAATAAATTGAATTCATCAAATGATAATGATAATCTTTGCTCTTTAAAAACATTATTATTTGATAGATTAGAATACTAGTCCTTTACCAGTAAATACAATTATGACTTGTGTTCTGAAATAGGTATTACTAACAAGTCTAAAGCAGTATTCTTCCATTCCTCTGCCCAGTTTTATATTAAGAACAATTACTAACTTTTAACAACTTCTAATTAATATTGATGTGAAGAACTCACTCATTGGAAAAGACCCTGATGCTGGGAAAGATTGAAGGCAGGAGGAGAAGGGGACAACAGAGGATGAGATGGTTGGATGGAATCACCAACTTGTCAGACATAGGTTTGGGCAAGCTCTGGGAGTTGGTTATGGACAGGGAAGCCTGGCGTGCTGCAGTCCATGGGGTCGCAAAGAGTCAGACACAACTGGGCCACTGAACTGAACTGAAGTTTTCTAAAATGGGTTCTGTTTCACATTCATTTCTCAACGTGTTTCTCAGTAAAAGGCTTCAGTAATCAAAAATGCCTGAAAAAGGCATTTAAAGGGTTTGTTTTTGACAAAAACAGACTCACAATATTATGGTCTCCTCTTGGGGATTTATCATGCATATTACCATATTAAACTCTTTGAGATGTTCTAAAGAAATTAATGCAGCATTTTCCAAATTTACTTGATCATGGAATCTCCTTTTTCCAATCGTCATCTGTCAGGAATAAACAATGCTTTAATAGACATTTGGAACTTCTGTAACTCAGGAATCCTCACCCACTGGATGCAGGTATCATGTGAAAGGATTACAAGAGCAGCCTAAAACACTGATCCTCTCATCTCTCAGTGTGGCCAGATCAAAGTCAGGCAGCTGAAAGAATCTATTCCAGGGATTCCTAGCAAGAGGCTCAAAGCAGAACAGGCTCTGACAGCAAGCCCTTTGGTCTATACAGGTAGCAAGCACAACAAATATCAAGCACCCAGTGCTCCATGCTTGCCATGAAAGTGATCTACCTCATATACCCCAATTTCAGAAAACAGAAATCAAATGCACCACTGCTCACCATGGACAAATGGACAAAGAACCCATGGAGCTAGTGGAGTAGTTTGTGTTCCACATGCCCAAGGAACATAGTATTGTGACTGAGGGGGCTTGTGGCTCTAAGAAACAGCCCATAATCCTTATCTTCATATACACTAGCTAATTCTACCCTTCCACTGATGATACGACCTTTCAGTAGCAGCCGAGCTTGCTGCCAGGCTCTAACAACACATAACATGTTATATAAATTAAATCTACACCATAATTTTTAAGTAATAATATGAGAAACTTCAACTGGATTGAAAAACCACTTGCAGGAACTTCCCTGGTGGTCAGCTTGTTAAGACTCCAAGCTCTCAATGCAGGGGGCCCGGGTTTCATTCCTGGTGTAGGGAACTAGATTCCACATGCTGCAACTAAGACCAGGAGTAGCCAAATAAATAAATAAAAATAAATTAAAAAAAAAAAACATTTGTATTACATCACAAAATTTTCTAAAGTTATATTTTTCAATTAAAGTGTGTGTGTTTGACAAAAACAGACTCACAGAGAGCAAACTACTAACTAGTGGTTATCAGTGGGGGAAGGAGTGAGGGGTGAAACAGAATGAGATTGAGAGGCACAAACTACTATATATAAAATAAATAAGCACCAGTCAGAATGGCCACCATCAAAAAATCTACAAACAATAAATGCTGGAGAGGATGTGGAGAAGAGGGAACCCTTTTACATTGTTGGCGGGAATATAAATTGGTACTGCCACTGTGGAAAACAATACAAAGGTTTCTTAGAAAACTAAAAATAGAGGTACCACGTGATCCAGCAATCTCACCCCTGGGCATATATCCAGAGAAAACCACAATTTGAACAGATACGTGCACCCTAACGTTCATGGCAGAACCATTTACAATAGCCAAGGCATGGAAACAATCCAAGTGCCCATCAACAGACAATTGGTTTAAGGAGATGTAAAATATAAATATATATATATATATATCCACACACACACACACACTGAAATATTGCTCAGCCATTAAAAATAATAATAATAATGCCATTTGCCACATGGATGGACCTAGAGACTGTCATATGGAGTGAAGTCAGTCAGACAGAGGAAGACAAATACCATATGATATCGCTTATATGTGGAATCTAAAAAAAAGGTCCAGGGCTTCCCTGGTGGTCTAGTGGTTAAGAATCCACCTGCCAATTCAGGGAACATGGGTTCAAGCCCTAATCCGGGAAGATCTCACAGGCTGTGGAGCAACTCAGCCCATGTGCCACAACTCCTGAAGCCCACATGCCTAGAGGCCGGGGTCCACAAGAGAGGCCACCACAGTGAGAAGCCGGCACACCTCAACAAGGAGTAGCCCACGCTCGCCACAATTGGGAAAGCCTGAGCCCACATGCAGCAAGGAAGACCTAGCACAGCCAAAATAAACAAACAATTTTTTTAAAAAATAAAAATTTTAAAAGGGTACAAATGAACTTATCTAGAAAACAGAAATAGTGTTAGAGACGTAGGAAACAAACTTAGGCTTCCCTGTGGCTCAGTGGTAAAGAACCCGCCTGCCAACGCAGGAGACATGGATTCGATCCCTGGTCTAGGAAGATCCCACACGCCACACGGCAACTGAGACTGTGCGCCACAGCCTGTGCTCCAGAGCCTGGGAACCACAACTGCTGAGCCAACACGTGCAACCACCAAAGCCCGAGAACCCCAGGGCCTTTTCTCCACGAGAG